AATTGACATTTTATTCTGTGGAGACCCGCCAGGTCCATTGACATCTTTAGGTTTAAGAGGCACTTGGTAGCCTTCGTAGAAGCATGGTGAAAAAAGAAAGTTGCTCTGGTATTTTTGAAGTTCTTTTAAGCTGTTGATCTTAAAAAAACATCAGTGTCTTTTTCATACATGCAAAAAATCAAAAGAAGTTTTCGATTTCACTTCTGGTTTTAACTGATTGGTTGGAATCGGCAACCAAACTAATGTGGATCATTCGGATTCAAAAAAAAAAAAAAGTTCTAATTTAAAGGAGTGGTAACGACATTTTCTTGTTTTCGTTGAATGAGTTCCCCTTTTTATTATTTGCAAAAAGGAAAGTCAATGGTGAGGCACAAATGACAAAACCAATACAACGAAGGAAAGCTCAAGGAGAGCAGCCCCAAAAGTCAAAATAAAACCCTCCACTCGACTACTACCAGTCCAGAACACTCATTCAACTAATGACCAACCTAACTCCCCTGTAGACCAAGCATCAACAACCCTTCAGTAAGACTAGCAGTATCCTCACAAATAATCCTCAGATCCCAGATGATGTCTCGGATCAAGACATCAACTCGCTTACTGTCAGTACCATACAAGCGTCGACAACGTTCTCGCCAGATTCCTGCACAGCAGAGACACCAAAGCAAGCCGTAATCCTCCCCAAAATTGGCCTTTTACAACCAGCAACACCTGCAGCCACTGTTGCCTCCCAGGAGTCGCAGCAGAAAAGCCCCATTTGCACAGCTCGAACAACCTGTTGAGAGAATACACACTGGAAGAACAAATGCTCACGAGTCTCAGCTTCAGTGCCACATAACACACACAAGCCATCTGTCATTTTTCCCCAAGTCAGCAACTTCTTCTTAGTAACCACAGCATCTAAAATAACCATCCATGTAATAAAGCTGTTGCGAGGAACTGAATATTTCCCCCAGACTAGCTTGGCCCAATTAACCTTCTCATACTTGACTCTCAAGGTGTCCCAGACAGCAGAAACTTTGTAAACAGGCATAGGCTTATGATTTCACATAATCTGAGTATTGTGCATCATAACTAAAGGTTGAACAAGGGGTCGCAGTTTAAGAATCCTCCTCCAAGCCCAGGAACTGCTCGGACAATCAGACACTGTCCAGATGCAACGATCCTTGACTTTATACTGCTGAAACCACGCCACCCATATTGCTCCACTCTTCATCAAGAACAACCAGAGAAACCTAATTGTACATGCCTTGTTCCAAGCACATAAATCACGAAGCCCCAACCCTCCTTCCATACGAGGCCTAGCCATTCTATCCCAACTAACCTTAGCACGACCTTCTTCTCCCCCATGCCAGAGAAACTTTGAGCATACAAGCTGAACTTGTTTAATCACTTTTTTGGGCAAGATAAAAATCTGCATCCAGTACTGGAGTGTCCCCATCAATACTGATGTGATCAACTGCAACCGCCCTGCATAACTGAGCTTTTTGGCACGCCAAGACTGGATTTTCTTTGTAATTATGCCTACTAACTTCTCTGTTTCACTTGCAGGCAGCTTCCTTGAAAGGAGAGGGACCCCCAGGTATCGCACAGGTAAGATTCCCTCAGCAAACCCTGAAACCCTCAAGGCTGTCTGCTTAAATTGCACCGACCTTCCCCCAAAATATACCTCGCATTTCCCTGGATTACACCTCAGCCCTAACAAGGTATGAAATTCTCTCAAAATCCCCTGAACTGTCTGTATAGCCTGCCCAGATCCTTCTGTAAAAATGAGCAAATCGTTGGCAAAACACAAATGTGTTAAGCCAACCTTCTTGCACTGTGGATGAAACGCTAGGTTACCCTCTGCAGCAGCTCGGTTCAAGAGAAGGGACAGTCCTTCCATGGCGATTGTAAAGAGGTAAGGTGAGAGGGGATCCCCCTGTCTCACCCCCCTCTGTGCACCAAAGAAGCCACAGAGACCACCATTCACACAGATACTAAATTTTGCAGTCTTGACACAAAGCCTAATCCAATATATGAACCTCTGAGGGAACCCCATGACTTCCATCATAAGAAAAAGATTGCCCCAATGAACTGAGTCGAAGGCTTTCATAAGATCTACCTTTATAGCACAACGAGAGGAGAGTGAACTTTTGTGGTAGCCACTTACCAGTTCCTGTGCCATTAGTATGTTGTCAACAATCCTTCGTCCCTCTATAAACGCAGACTGGTTTCCACTAACCACACTAGCTAATACCTTCTTCAAACGATTGGCCAGCAACTTAGCTATAATCTTATAGAGAATATTGACACATGATATTGGGCGAAACTCCTTGAGTCGACATGCCGAGGCAACCTTGGGAATTAAAGACACAGCTGTGGAATTAACACTACTAGGAAGCTTACCAGAAGAGAAGAAATCCAGTATCCCAGCAGTGATGTCTTCCCCAATTATCCCCCAGGTTCGCTTGAAGAAACCAGCAGAAAAACCGTCAGGGCCAGGGGCCCTATGAGAGCTCATGCTAGCAACCACCTGTCGCACATCATCAGCCAAGAAATCCTGACACAAAAAACTCTGCTGCTCTTCACTCAACCGATGCAAAATCAGACCCTCCAGGACTTGCTTACTAGGATGTACCTCAGGGTCAATAAATCCAAATAGGTTCTTATAAAATTTCACTGCTTCTTCTGCAATATCATCCATCATCACTACCTCTTCACCCCCTTCCAATACTAGGTTTCGAATAGCCCTCTTGGCAGTCTTGATTTTTACTGATTGATGAAAAAATCGTGTACCTTGATCCCCCAACTTCAGATGATTAACCCTTGCTTTTTGCCAATAGAAACTCTCCTCATCCTTCTTCAGTTTAACAAGTTTAGAGCTAAGATCCTCTACCACAGCAAAGCGCTCACCAGTGGGATTAGAGAGGGACATTTCTTGTGCAGCAAGTAACTGCCCTTCAATGTCTCTCACCTGTCCACTAATGTCACTGAAGACCTCCCTGTTCAACTTCCTCAACCCTTTCTTAACAGCATTAAGTTTGGCCTTGATTACCTGGAATTTATCTCCCTGAGCCTGTGTAGACCAACCTTCTTCAACAATACGATAAAAATCAGGATGTCCTGCCCACAGTTCAAAGTACTTAAAGGGCTTTGGCATGGACTTCTGCTCTGGCTTCGTGGTGACACATACCCCACAATGATCAGAGAAGTATCCCACCAAAATCTCAATACTGCAGCAAGGAAATTTATCAAACCAAGCCTCATTAACTAGCCCCCGATCAAGCTTCCTAGCAATGGGATTATCTTTTTGCTTGTTTGTCCACGTGAAGAAAGGGCCATTAGACCTGTGATCCACCAATTCCATACGATCAACCCAGTTTCTGAAGTCCATCATACAGCTAGTCATTGTAGATAGGTTAGAAGTTTCAAGAGGGGACAAAACAGAGTTAAAATCCCCACCAACTATCCATGGGATCGAGGAAACCTTAAATCTAGACAAACTACTATAAGTATCTCTCCTTTCAGTCTCATCATTAGAAGCATACACACTAGTGATGAAACAGCTAGCACCACTCGAGTCTCTAGCTACACAATGAACATAGTTCTTCCTAGCTGCAAGAATGCGAAATTCAATGTCTGGGTTCCAGAACATCCAAACCCTGCCCAGATCACTATCATAGAAATTCAGAAATCTCTTCCACCCAGTGCAAAACCCCACAACAGTCTCTTCAGCTTTTGCTTTTCTAACCCTTGTTTCAAGAACAGCCACTACATCTACCTTATATCTACTTAGGACTTGTGCAAAGTCCCTTCTCTTAGAGGGTTTATTAAACCCTCTAACGTTCCAGAATAAGATCTTCATCGAGGGGAGGTATTAGAACCCCCACCCTTCTTACCACCCTTTTTTGGAGCAGCCTGCAACTGTGTAAGCTCTCTTTCCCCTAACCCTTCCAACGCAGCAAATGTTTGAGTAGTTGCCAAGACACTGGTTGGACTAGGGAGTGGAGACCAGCATCTCGGCTTAGCCCCATTCACCACTTTCTGAAACTCAGCCTCCGAGGGTAGCACTGGTGAACTACATTCTGCAACCGATTGAAAAGAGCTCTCCAAGTTAATGCCTACATAGTTGGAGCCAACCAACAGATTAGTACATTGCGTAGCAGCAGGCATCACACTCTTCCCCTTATCTGCTCCTCGATCAGTATGGACAGGAGTGTGTGGAGGCTGCCTAACCACTTTCTTAACCCAAACCCTGCCTACTTCATTGTTCCCCTGACCCCCTTTAGGCTTCTGAACTTGATTCCTCTTATCACATCCGCACTTGCCAAAAGACTTGCAGTGGCTACACACAGGAGGCAGATGGCTGTATGTCACCCCCACCCTAATTGAACGCTCATCAGTTGGCCAGACCAGAACGTGATCAGGGAACTGAGCTGATGCCTTTAACTCTACCAGAGCCTTTGCACAGCCAAGCCTACCCCCCAATCTCGTGGTATGGTCAACCCCCAAAGGAATTCCAAGGAAGCTCCCCAACCTACTCATACCCTGAAAATTAACATACTACGACATTTTCTCCATTGCATATTTTTTGTTTTGTCATTTTGAGAATCATTTTTTATAGAATATATATTTATTTTTTTAGATAAGGGTGATATATGTTACTTTTTTGTTATTAGGTACTACTGAAGGGACTCGAACCTGAGACCTCCAGGTTCATTTTTTATAGAATATTAATAATTTTTATCTATAAAACACTAGGGAGAATTTCGATTGTATTTGCAATTTCAATAGAAGCGACGATTCGTTTAATATTTGCCTTGTTGTAGTGGGTAAAGAACTAATGATCACATCACACATGCCCTATTCAGTAATTAATCACCTAAATGATCATCTATGGATAACCATAAAATATAATGATTAAAGGACAGTTTATCGGTAATGCATGAGCCCCACACTATGATTCTTTCATCTGAAGGGTAAATATTTTGTACAACATTACTTTCCTAATTTGAAATTCTCTTACTAACACGGAAACATAAGAGATGAAGCCAAGGCTTGAATCCAGAAATATGGTGAAATGTTGCCTTCCAAATTCAAAACTCTACCATCTAGCTTTGGCATTGTGTCTTAGCTCTTTATGTGATACAAGGGTGGGTGCCTCAATTCATGAATACAAGGATGGTGCTTTTATTCGTCGTTACAATTCATACTTCTTTCATGGCGGAAGTGAAGGCCTTTACGCATCCAAAAATCATGATGATATCCAAGAAGACAAGCCTGTCAAGGGAAAATCGTTCATCAGGTACGTTCACAGTCCAGTATATCATAAACTCTATTTGTTTTCTGGAAAATTGAAATTGATCTTTCTTTTAAAATCACGATTGCAAGAACAATCACAAAGAAAAGTTCGAAATGATTCATCCGTTCATATTTTGTCTCGTGTTTATTGAGTTTCCCTATTCCTCCCCTATTTATGTGCTACAAAAATCACACAAAGGTTGTTGCTTTTTTCTGGATCGATCCAGATTTCCTTATGCAAATGGTGGTATTTTTTGATTTCATATATAAAACTCGACCAATTTTATTTAGGAATCAAATTGCGTTGTATTTTGTTATTGTTGCATCGTTAATATGAAATCACAAGCAGGTAATTATAGATGATGCGTGCTAAATACTGGATTTTGATAACATGATCTGAAAATTTTAAAAAAATATTTTACACTCGTATTCATCATGGAACACCAATTTTTTTTATGTTTGTTGTGAAGGTTTGAGTCCATAATTTTTAGAAGACCGAAGGAGTCAGCAGAAAGGAAGAATGAAATGCAGCAAAAAACAGGATTGCTGGAAGCTTTAATAGTTCCAATCAAAGATAGAGACAAGATTGGTGGATCTTATCTCAACTCCACCGCAATATGCTGCACTCCAGAACTCGCCAACAGCGGTTCTTGTAAAGTAGGAGAAGTAATTATTCACGACGATCCAAACAGCTCCCCAGACGGACCAAAGAGACTTCAGACATTCTTCGAGGGAAACAATGAAGTGGCCGAGATGGTTCTTCAGACAGTGGAAATAACCCATGACGGAATGTACTATCTCTACTTTATGTTCTGTGATCCAGAACTACTTGGAACGACGATAAGCGGAAGAACAGTTTGGAGGAACCCGGATGGATATCTCCCTGGAAAGATGGCACCTTTGATGCCTTTCTCTGGTTTCATGTCACTAGCTTACCTTGGACTTGGACTCGTCTGGTTTCTTTGGTTCACACGCTACTGGAAAGATGTCATACAGTTGCACTTTCACATTACCGCAGTTATAGGTTTGGGTATGTCTGAAATGGCTCTGTGGTACTTTGAGTATGCTAACTTCAACGCAAATGGGAGTCGACCGGCGGCCATAACCTTTTGGGCAGTCACATTTAGTGCCGTTAAAAAAACTGTTTCTCGTCTTCTCTTGCTAGTGGTCTCCATGGGGTATGGTGTTGTGAGGCCAACACTTGGTGCTTTGACGTTGAAGGTGCTTCTTCTTGGTGTGGGTTATTTTATGGCATCTGAAGCACTTGGGTTGTTTGAGAATCTAGGTAATATTAATGACTTCTATGGGAAAGCTAGACTTATTCTTGTGTTGCCAGTTGCTGTCTTGGATGCCTGCTTTATTGTCTGGATCTTCTCGGCATTGTCCCAAACCCTGGAGAAACTTCAGGTAACTCTAGCCTTTTGTGCTTTCATATAAATTAGGTGGTGATGCCCCGCCTTGTCGCGGAGCTGAGATGGCCTATGGACATGTATTATGTGACCCATTATGGTGTTTTGTTAGTATTAGTAGTCTAAAATTAATTTTCCGTTAGCAGTTTTGTTAGTAATATTGACTTCACAATATGATATTGACTGAGAAGAGATATATGGCGGTCAACATCCAATTTAATTTTTTTTTTGAAAAATTTGGGTAGTAAATGATATTTACCTAAATCCAAGTAGACCCATTGATTATGCATAGGGTATGGGTGAAGTATATATGGGTTTGGAAGTTTGTAGATGGAAGTTTGTATTCCTTTTGCTTCTCTCTAGAGTATTTCTTTTTCACCCGGGCTAGAATTTTCAACAAATATACATGGAATGTATGGCTAGATATACACATATCAAATCCCATAGATTGGTTCAAAAGGATTGGTGGATTGGATTCATAGATTCATGGATTGGATTTGATTCAACATTAACCTAACTTCAGCTTTATATATAGTAATTGGTGAATTGGATTCATAGATTCATGGATTCAAGTGAAATCTAAACATTGGACCAATATGTAAATTTAAAAAATTGTAGGTATGAAAATCTCATAAAATTTAGATGCCAAAACATAATTCTTCAATAATTTTATATTAAAATTAATTTTGAAGTATCAAAATGTAAAATGTACATTATAGTGATTAAGTTGTGATTTAATTAAATTTGGGGTATCAAAATATAAATTATTAGGCAATAAGGCGGAATGAATGGCTCCTTATGTGAATAACTTATTGATGTGTGGTCACAGGTGAGAAGAAGTGGAGCAAAGTTTGTGTTGTACCAGAAGTTCACCAATTCTCTTGCTGCATCAGTTCTAGTGTCCATTGCTTGGATAGGTTATGAGGTTGCTAATACTAATTCTCGTATAACAAAAACAAGACCACCAGTATTCTTTGCATCACATCATTCCTTAATCAAAATTTGTATTTTGTTCCATGTTTTTGTAGTTGTACTTCAATGCGGCCGATCCGTTGGGAGAGTTATGGAGAAGAGCATGGATCATCCCAGCTTTCTGGGCTTTGCTAGCATATATGCTTTTGATTGTTGTATGTGTTCTTTGGGCTCCCTCCCCTAATCCAACAAGGTACCCTACTCTTCTTGTCTCAACAATAGTTACCCATGCCCCTGAAATAGTGGACCAGAGGGAGAAAAATAACCCCATGAAACATACTTTTTTGGGTTTGCAGGTATTCATATTCAGAGGAGATGGGAGATGATATCGAAGATCAGGAGACTCCATTTGTATCGGGTGGTGGAGTTAAATTAGGGGGTGGAGATGTAGCAAGCATGGCAATGTTGGAGATCAGAAAGGAGAAGAAGCTATCAACTACATTACCACCACCACCACCACCTGCTGCATCAGAGTACTACGTTTTTCGACTTGGCGAAGATTTGGAGGAAAACAAAAGGGAGTAAATAGGTCAAATATAGCATGGGTTAACTAATTCATTAACTACACGATTGAAAAGACAGTGATTCACAAATTATGTCACGGAGATAGTTGGTATAACAGGTGGATGTCACATGAAGTGATGAATGACTAGTCGCACACAGTTAGCTCCATTCTTACAAACAGGGATTCAACCCTTTAACTCATGATTGAAGTACGATGCGAACTTTTGCCCAAAAAAAGAGTCTGAGGCGACCAAACCACTTATTAATTCCTTCAATTTGGAGATGGTCTTTCCCAATGCCTGATCATGTGACGATTGCATTACTTATTTTGTAATAAATATTGACATTGGGTAGTGATGGTTGTTCTTTGTATCTATGTCCTAAGAACAATATTTTCGTTACCCTAACATGTTGCTTAACTATCTTCAGTCGGATAAAATTGTGGAGGTGGGTTAACAATAACACTTTGAGATTAGCATGTGAGACATGTTTCCAAATTTCATCAAACTTTACAACTAACATTGTCCACCAAAGAGAGAACTCCATACCTAGACGGGATCAACCAGAGATCAATGAGGCATGTGGTCTAGGCCAGTGACCTCCGTTGCACATTCGACTAGTTATATGTTAAAATTCTTTTTATTTTGCTATTTATTCTAGTTATTTTTCAGATGTTTGAACCAAAACTCTATACACATTTCTCATATAATATCCACCACATTTTGGATTGAAAGCTTGTGATCGCCAATTCTTTTTTGTTTTGGGTAACAAACGAGGCTTAAAGAGGCGTCCCAACCTTAACCATTAACAACCAACCTTGGGTCATAATCTACCCCCAGGATTGCATGTTTTTACGACGTCTAGTTCGACGCTAAACTATTGCTTGTACTGTGATCGCCAATTCTAACGAACTTTCACAACAACAAAAACTACTCTAACAAGCCATTTGGAAAAAAAATATCCGTTAATGAATAATAGATATACTTTATTTAATATTTATTAAAAAAATTGAAAAAATATTAATTAGTTAAACAAATAATTGTACAATATATGATTTGTTTCGATCTTTCCCTCCGTACCAACCCACTTGACTAAATAATTGGAAAAAATCAATATTTTTCCATTTTTCATACATGCATCAATTTTCTCTATAAATTGGCAGTTGGTGTTCACCAAAGAATTAATTAATTAGCTGTATCTTTCTTTGCTTTCTTTCATATTTGTACAATACATCCAAAATAACTTCATACTTATTACTAGCTCTACCAACCATGTCAAAAAGAAAGAAGAAGAAAAAAACTAGTCGAGTTGCAAAAGAATATGCTACCAGATTAGTAATTTACCAGAATACGAGAAGAACCACGGTAAATTGAATTTCTACAAGTCTATGAAAATTTGATCTTTTTCTATTTCTTGTCAAATATCAATGGGCTTATCATGTTTATACCTTATAGTCCTTGGTGTAAGTACATGTTCATGCTAAGTGGCATAAGCACACTATCCAAATGTGTGACAAAGTTTATTTGCACAATGGATTGATTATAGTATATATAATGATGTTTTTGTGCTTCATAATTTTTTTCATAATGTAGGGAGTAATAAGGTCATTGGTTATGCTTGATCAAATCAAAACTCCATCCGCCGCCATGTCCAACCTTAGTATTTTCTCCTAGAGAACATGGCATTTCGCAGACTCCAACCGCCGCCATGTCCTGACCTGCCGCCGTTGCCGCCATTGACAGAGCTATAATTGTCACTAGCTGGACAAGAAGGAGAACGAGAAACCCCACCTTCTCTTTTGCCATATTGACAGTTGGGTTCGTCATGATTTCAACTATTATTCAATCTTTGTCAATTGAAACGAAAAGGAATTGTGACAAAATTCCTCACTATAATCCACCATCCCAACGAATCCGTACTAAATTTTGTATAAGAGAAAGACGAGCAATGTTAAAAGTGTATGCAGAAGAATACTCGCGAAACATGATACTAGTAGTTAGGGATGGCAATTTCGACCTGTCCGGTTTTACCCCACCTGTTTGACCTGTTTTGGGGCGGGTCCGACCCGCCCCGTACGCGAGGCGGGGCGGGCATGGGTAGTCTCATCGACCCGACCTGCCCTGACCCGTTCTTGTCTAAATTGCATGTAATCTTAGTCAAATTACTTGAGATTTTCCTTTTATTGCATCATATTTTTAGCTATAAGAAAGTTTTAAATTAGTGAAAACCTCAATTTCTCCAATAATTTAACTACAATTGTCATAATATTGTTTGTTTTCTTAGTCTTATAATAAAAATAACGAATATTGCTAATGTTTTTAATATAAATTGCATACCCATTGGGTCGACCTGCCCCGACCCACGATCTGTGATCAATTACCCGACCCGGACCCGACCGGCCACGGGGTGGGTCTGGGTACCAAGAAACCCGCCCCGGACCTGCCCCATTGCCATTCCTACTAGTAGTGTGTAATAACTTTCTTTTGATTTCAAGGAGTTCCAATATATGATGTGCAAATATGCTAATGCAAATGGAGTTCAAAGACACCAATTTGTTTTTTTCTAAATGGAGTGGTACATTCAACATTTTGTGTATATGGTGGGGGATTACATTCAATATTTGTTGGTTTTTTTTTGTACGAGAACAATGATACAACACTTTTAAATACTAATATTTTAGAGCACAAAGCGTAAACATGCAATGATTGCACTAGCTATTTTACAATATTGTTGTTCGTATCCATGTGTTAAGAACAAATTTATTTCTTCCCAATAAGTCGGAAACTGATTTTTTTTATAATAATGATATAAGTTTATTTTTAATAATATCTAACTAGAGAGGAAAGAGAAGGAATTAAATGAAAGAAATCTGCCGTAGAAAGAAAGAGAATCAGAAGCAAGATAGAGAAAGTAATTAATGCATGATCTTAATTAAAAAAATATAGTAATATGGATTTTTAATTCTAAAAATATATTTAATATAATTTTTCAATTTTCAGAATTTAATTAATATGAATAATATTTTCAATGTTATTTTTGTCTTTGGTTTGCATAGTTATTTTTCATAGACTCAAATCTAGGAAGTATAGCATGTATAACAATAGTTGGATATGATCATGCAACACTTAATTATGACATTGACGTGGTGTCCTTATATCCTGTGGTCCAATAAACCAGTTCCACGAACATGAGTTTGATATAGTTAGTGATGACAATTTGAACCCGTCCCGCAGGTAATACCCGACCTGACTCGCGACGAGGCGGGTATTACCCGACCCGCAATAGCAAAGGGTGGGGCATGGGTATGTACTTCCGACCGGCCCTGACCCATCCCGCCCCGTATTATACCAATGTTATCTAAATTTCTTATACTATCTATACATTTTTTGATTTTTTTTTCAATAGTTAGAGTCGATCTTTCAACTTGTTAGGCTCAATTATCCATTCCATTATCACTATTTTTCATTTATAAAGTGTTTTACCCTTCATTTTATCATAAAAAGTAAAATTTTCGTATATTATTTTCAAACAAATTGTTAGAATGGGTCCACCCGCCCCAACCCACAATAGTGGGGCATGGGTATTGAGGTACCCGCCTCGCCCAATTGCCATCACTAAGTATAGTGGTAATGCCACTGATTTTTTTTGTTGGTGAAATAGTATTAATAATAGGAAGAAAAAGTTTACAGAAAAAGGAATACAGAGGGAATTAAATGATGTAGAGAGGAGTTGTCAAGTTAAAACCACATAGATGGTTTGCGCGATAATTCGTTCCTCGTACACTATGAAGTGCAATGGATTTGATGACACTAGAGAGGAATCTCACTGCTTGATAGACGATGATGGCAACAATCCCTAGTATTTATTTTCTTCTTCCTACTTCTAAATTTCATTTTTGTGGATGAAACGAATAATGGAATTGGACAATCTCACCTTTTGCCATGGAAATCTAATTCCAAGAATTAGAAAACCACATTCCATTGCCATTAAATTGACTATTCAAGCAATGAAATGCTCCACATTCATATCCAATGAAAGTATATCACATGCCATCAACAACTTATGCAGTTTAAACGACTCCTATATTGACTAGAATGTAGTTCTAAATGTAAATAATTGGAATTCTAGGTAAATTAGAACTCAATTCCTTGGTAGACAATAGATGATTCATGATAGGTACTAATGAGATATTGTTTTTTTTTTATAATGACTAATGAGCTATTACTAGGAATAGTATTCCTAATCATATGAGATTATATCAATGACCAAAAGAGAGGAACATGCTTCACAACTTTGCGGAGGGTTGTGTGATTATCACAATGTAAAGAAGCGTGTTCGGCCAATGCGAGAGCCAACTCATGTGATGTAGTAACTAACGTAACCAACATACCTTATTATCAAAATGTAACTTATTCATTCGAAGATGAAAAATATTCAAACAAATGTTGATTTGAACTTTTAAAGTAACATCGCTTATCGAAGATAAAAGACATAAATAATGAAGATTTATTACCTTATCTTTTAAATAACGATAATTTCTCACTCTCACTATATAAAGTATCGGTCCTTCTCGCCAAACAAGCTCCTCTATGTTTTGGGAGTTTTTGCCAACGTCTTTTACGCAACCAACGACAACCCCCTCTTTTCTATAGTTCTCGCCCTAAGTGAACTTCATCGAACCTCTTTGTATGAAATGGTTTCTCTCTTTTCGCCAATCTGATTCTACACATCTATCTTTTAGTCGAGTTTTTCTTCTCTATTGACAGAGCAAGGTACAATATTATTTTCTTCACTTTCTTCCCCCTATTATTTGTGTACCCTCTTCCTCGTTTGATACGATTGAACGTGATGATTCGAATAGGTCAAATCATTCATTTGTGTGGCATCTTGGATATAGCCTTATAGTGCTTGAAGGTAGTGTGTGCAATCCTAGCATTTTTATCGCAACTTCTCATTTTTTTTTTTAACGAAGGTGGTTTTCCGATCATTTTGTTAATATCTTTTCAATTTAATGGTTTAATATCCTTCTAGATGCGGTCTCTGGCCTTGAGTCTTACCATTTTTTAGGTGTTGTTGATTTTGATTTGAATTTTTTTTCCAATTTCATATTAAAATTTTCGTTTATGGAGACCTATGAGCTAAAAGTTGTGGTGTTAACGACCAGTGTTTTCGCAATGCATCTAGGGTTTTGACTGGAATCATATTGACTAGTGTTGAGCTTTAGGTCTTTATAAGTCATAACTGATTTGCATTTCCTTTTTCCTTGCAGTAACTTTGTGTACATCTTCATCTTGTGACTCGCTATGACACAACTCCTGACAAAGGCCAAGTGTAACCAATGAAACGGTCTACAGTATAGTGGATCAAGTAATAAATATCGAATTCA